CAATCATTAGTAATGACATACATCCATTATAATATAGCAGTCATAAGTGATATAAGCAAAACCTTTCTAAACTTATTATTAAAAAAATGCATCAGATTCACCATTCATCAGAAATCACAATTATAAATTTAAATGAAAGCATGTGGAAACAAAATAGTGAGATAAAAATTTAAAAAACAGAGCGATGATCATGGTTTTCAATTGATATTAAAAAATGGAAAGCTGTTTTATTAGGATATGATTAGCAGTTTGCATATTTAAACCAAGATTCATATACAGTTTTAGGACAACCAAAGGAAATCAAATAAAAATTTATAAATGTATGTAAAAATGTATCAATAAAATATTTTAATTAATTAATCTTTATGTAAGGTATGGGTTGAGATAAAAATGTCAGGGTCACGAGCGGGATTCGAACCCACGACCTTTGCCTAAATACGCCGCTGCTCTACCAGTTGAGCTATCATGACTTCAAGACTAGAAGGGGCGTATTAAGGCGAAGGTCGAGGGTTCGAATCCGCTCGTGACACTGACTTTTTTATCTCACCAATACCTTACATAAAGATTAATTAATTAAAAATTTTATTGATTATCTTCGGACGTTCTAAAACTGAATATGAATCAACCTTACATAAAGATTGATTAATTGAAAGAAGTAATTTGGTCAATCCGACCACGTAATCTAATGGATAAAATATTTTAAGAAGATTTCTGGACGTAATAATAATTTATTTACATTATGATTTATTTATTGCATCTGCCAGTAAATATTTAAAATAATTTCTATGTCGACGGGGGTGAGGAAAGCCATTTCTTCTGAGAAAATCTTATTGTTTTACAAAACACACGGAAAATCAATCAACCCAAATCTCAGGTTAAATATTCGTAATATCCGATGTTTTATTCTCGCTGTTTGTTTAAATACATCATAAATCTTAAATAAAACACAAATAGTATGTAATGTCATTTTTTTGCCGATTTCAAAATTATATTAAAAATATTGATGAAATCAAAAATTTAAGATTGAAAGTTAAAAAATTTACGTTTTAAGTTTTGAATCGTCAAGACAATCTATAAGGATGAGTAAGTGTATTTTTTCACACAACCCCTCATTAATTATCATTACAGATGGTGAACAGTTGTAAAGAAAAACATGCTGTCCTTTTTTTGCTAATTAGTTATAATCAAGTTAACACAGGCAATAATTTACATTTTATTACTCAGACGGAATATATAAATAAAATTTTTGTTCGTTTTTATACAGATAAATTTATGAAAGGAATGATCCATCGGATCAGTTTTCTGTAAAGTTTAGAAATTTTCTTTCAACTTGGAACTTGTTAAATAGGACATTCCATAAGATTTGCTCTGAAAATCTTTAGATTTGATTTGTTTTATTATTCCGTAAATAAAGGTTTACTCAGTTTTTGGTAAAGCAGTGAAATATCTGTACTTGAGCCACGAAAACGGGAACTTTAAAGAACAAAAAAAAACCTTTCAATAAAATCCAAAGGATCGATCCTACCGTAAAAGGCGTTCTTGGATAATGCATGGGAATTCGGCAGGAGGCCGAGGAAAAAATTCTTTAAATTCTCCATACCATAAATAGAAGAATAGCGTTAGAATAGAAGAAGTGTTTTTTGCATCTTCTTTCTCCAAACGAAAATCCTGTGCCAACCTTGTGTATGTTGGGAAACTGAATGCAAACGAGAACAGCCGTCCAAGCAGGTCTTAACTCCGACATTCGCATGACTTCCAGGCACAGTTTTCCTTGTCGGCTTGAGCACTAAGACCTCTCTAAGCGCCACAGATATAAGATTTTACTGGAAAATTTCTGTTACGTTACAACGGAACGAAAACGTAAGACTTTTTCCAGCGTGATAGACAGGATGAAATAAATCCGCCTCAGTCACGGAAGATAATTAAGATGATAAGAAAAACAATATTTTGCTGAAAAAGGGAGAGCAAGGGAGATAAATAGATATATAAATAGATAGATTGTGTGATAGATAGATAGATAACATGCTTTATTTACATTAAAGAGAAGCGTTACATAATATACAATATTAAAAGCGTTTTATACAGCATGGATGCTTATGCGTCTGCCGGAAGATGGCTGTTTTTTTTCAGGCGAGCGAAAAATAAAAAATAAAATAAACTATATAATAATGATAATATTAGAAAACTATAAGTAAAAACTAAATTATAAAAACTAGCTGATTTTAGATACAAGTTAAACAATTATGACTCGGTATTATAATCGTACCTATATTGCCAGGCATGACGTGCATAGTGTGTTAGACATTTCGACCTCCCTATATCCACGATATTTAACGGATTAAGCAGCTGAGACCTGGAAAGCGATTTATAGCCTAGATACAGGATACGAAGTTCAGACAGTATGGGACACTGGGCAACAAAATGAAAGATATCTTCCCTAACTCTTAGGTTACAGAGCGGGCACAAGAAATTTCCGTCGTCTTCCTTCCATGGCACAGAATTGAGGAACAGATTGTGTGTGTGTGTGTGTGTGTGTATGTGTGTGTGAGTGGTGTGGTGTGTGTGTTGTGTGTGTGTGTTGTGTGTGTGTGTGTGTGTGTGTGTGTGTGTGTGTGTGTGTGTGTGTGTGTGAGTGTGAGAGAGAGAGTGAGAGCGAGGAAGAGTGTAGTTACAGTACCATACGGAAAGAGAAAGATAGATAGATGCAGATAAGATAGAGATAGTGAGTGAGAGAGAGAAAGAGAAAAAAAAATAACAAAAAAGAGAGGAAGAGTTAGTGGCAGTACCGTATACAAACAAGAATTCTACTTCCAGCGCGATCAACAGTATGAAATCAATCTGCCTTAGTCACTGAAGATAATTAAAATAATAGTCAATATTTTGCTGAAAGAGATAGAGGGAGGAAGTCTATCGTTATATAGATATTTTGAAAGAGAGGGAGTGACGAAGAAAGAGAGGTGACAGAGAAAAAATGGTGAAAGAGAGAGAGGAAGCGTGTAGTAACAGTACTATATAGTAAGACAGAAACAGAAAAGATAGAGATCGATAAATAGATGCAGATAAGATAGAGATAGTGAGTGAGTGAGAGAGAGGGAGTGGTTAAGGGGGGAGAGAGTGAGAGAGACAGAGCGTGAGAAGAGTGATAGAGATGGCGGGAGGGGGTGGGAGGAGAGTGTGATAGAAAAAAAAAACAACGAAAGAGAGTGGAAGTGTTAGTAGCAGTACCGTATATAAACGTGCAAGCCTTTATCCATCGTGATGGACAGGATATGTAGATAGATTGAAAGAGACAGAGAATGAGAAAGAGAGAGGGTGAGAACAAAAAATAACGACAGAAAGTGGAAGAGTGTGGTACTTATATTACCATATAGTAAGACATAAAGAGAAATGATAGAGATAGTGTGAGAAAGGGAGAGAAAGAGAGGTTGGGAGAGAGAGATAGATAGAGATAGAGAGATAGAGATAGATAGATAGATAGATAGATAGATAGAGATAGATAGATAGATAGATAGATAGAGAGAGAGAGAGAGAGAAAGAAGGAAAGAGAGAGAGANGAGAGAGAGAGAGAGAGAGAGAGAGAGAGAGAGAGAGAGAGAGAGAGAGAGAGAAGGAAAGAGAGAGAGAGAGAGGGATAGAGAGGGGATAGGATAGTGTGACAAAGAAAGATGGAGAGTGTGAGAGGAAAAAATAAAGAAAGAGAAAGGAAGAGTTAGTCGCAGTACCGTATGCAATGACAGAGAGAAAAGAAATATATAAAATGATTTAGGTATAGATAGTACAATATAAAAAGACGGAATGGGAAATAGATAGATAGATAAATAGAGATAGATATATAGATACAGACAGAGTTACAGATCGACCTAGTGAGAGAGCGGGGGAAAGTGACAAAGAAAGAAAGTGTGAGAGAAAAAATAACGAAAGTGAGAAAGGAAACGTCTAGTAACAGTACCGTATATAAAAAGACAGAAAGGGAAATGAGGTAGATTGATAAATAGATATAGATCTGATCGATAGATAAATCGAGATAAATAAGTAGATACAGACAGAGTGACAGATTGAGGTAGTGAGAGAGAAAGAGGGGGAGAGTGACGAAGAAAGAAAGTGTGAGAGAAAAAATAACGAAAGTGAGAAAGGAAACGTATAGTAACAGTACCATATGTAATACGACAAAAAGAGAAAAGAGGTAGATAGATAAATAGATAATAGATCTGATCGATAAATAAATAGAGATAAATACAGCGATAGATAGAGATAGTGTGGGAGAGGGTGAAGTGTGACAAAGAAAGAATTAAAAAGTGAGATAGAAAAAATAACGAAAGAGGGAGAGGAAGAGTGTAGTGGCAGTAATGAATAGAAAGACAGAGAAAAGAGATAAATAGATAAATGCAGATACAGATAGTGAGAGTGAGTCAGTGAGGGAGTGAGAGAAAGAGAGGGAGGGAGAGAGGGAGAGAGAGAAAATAATCCTAACCAGATTGTGTAATCAAACATATATCCCTAAATTGCATCGATAGTTATATTGGGAAAAATAAAAAATATTATTAGGTAAATGTAAATGTGTTGTACCTAAATATAAAGGAAGAGTGTAAAATATTTTGTTTTGTTGTTTTTAAACTTTTGGATTAGATGTCAATTGTCTCTGAAAGCCCAAATGCCTTAACGACTGTTCACTCTGTACAATCCGACCTGGATCATCCCTCTACTCGCATACACACACTCACACACACACACACACACACACACACACACACACACACACACACACACACACACACACACACACACACACAGCAGCTACGCCCTGCCGTTTTCTTTAATCAAGGAAGAGGATTAAAAGCTTTAGAAAACTGAGATACGTGGAAACTTTTTTAAGTATCGAAGTACTGTGTAATTATAGGAGTTTCGATTTTTTCCCCAATCCGAAAGGCAAAGATAACAAAAGGAAGAGTCACGAATTCGAGAAAACACAGTGTTTCACATGCGAAAGGCAACATTCAAAAATGACAGGCTACGGGTAAGATAAAAATCACGTCGAAATCGGCTCGGAGAAAAAGTGAAATCCACGGGGAAATGTTCGTTTTTCCGACCGTTCCGCCGGCCTTCGGGGGTGGGTAAATAATATCCGGCCAGTATATCTTAGGACTATTTATTCACATGGAATATTTTATGCCATATGTAAAAAAAATCGGCTAATTCATTTATTAGATAAAAACATTCCACGTCACTGGGGCAAAATCGAGGGAATGACACAAACATAAATAAAAAGTCTTCCATGAATAATTTATTGTGGGCGTTTCTCACATGGGAGGGAAATGAATTTTCCCCTGTCCTGTTTTCAAAGTTACAATGCGAAGATGAAAGTTCGAATGTTTAAATCGAGTTGGGAAAGGATTTTACAAAATTAAGCTTCTCGTTCTTCTCTTTTATAACGTTCATATTATTCTAAAGTTAATAAAAAAATCCATATCTCGTTGGAAAGTGTTATGAAAGTTCTTAACAGCCATGTACCCGGTCATATCGCGTAGATACATTTTGAATAGTAATTTTTGTAATAAGACGAACCCACTTTCTTGCGTAGTAACTGTGACATATCTCCTCGGAAAAATCATAGAATCATAAATTTCATGGTAGAGGAAATTGAACCTCCTAGCCCACAATTCCAAGCTAACATCTGCAGTATTGTGTGAAAAAAAGGTGTTGAAAATTTCAGGAAGCATTTCTACTCACCAATTAATTGTATTGGTATTGGTTAAGATAATAAAGTCATTGACACGGACCGGATTCGAACTCACGACCTTCGGCTAAATACGTCGCCTTGAAAAATGGCAAAAAGCAGGGAAAATTCAAGAGGTGGGGTTGAGATGGGAGGTTAGTGTCCGAGTGGATCGAAGTCACGATAGCTCAAGTGGTTAGAGCAGCGGCGTATTGAGCCGAAGGTCGTGGGTTCGAATCCCGCTCGTGACATTGACTTTTTTATCTTAACCAACACCAATACAATTAATTGAAAATCTAAATAAGTTTTCTTACAGCAGACTTAACGTTCTTACAAGTGGCACAAATCAGATTTTTCTACAAGTAGTAATTTTTAACTTTATAAACAATTTAGTTGACCTAAGTGGAAAAAAACCAAAACCTTAAATTACTTCTTTACCGTTGAAATTTGGACAGGGGTTTATTGGAAGTTTTTTGTTGCATATGGCGAGTAGAAAGCCTGAAATTTTCTACACTTTCGCCAGTCACCCTGTATATTTAAAAATGTAAAAATTGAAAATATATTTTTAAAACGGAAAGCAGAACCGAAGGCTTTAGTCTTCTTCACATTCAACTCAAAGCTGGTCTGGAAATGCCTAAATTTTCTCAAAATCAAGGGGTACTAGGATAAAGGAAGTGATTAAAGACCTCGAACAGGCTGACCAATTAGTAAAAAACTGGAGCAACAGTTACCCCTTTGAATCAGAACTACAAATTGGCACACCATAAAGCACGGTTAAAACGAAACTGAACGATCAGTGTCACATCCTTCCTTCAGGTAATGAAGGTGATTGTAGGTCAATAAGTAGATCATCTTACAAACCAAGTAATAGCATGCCTTCTTAAGAGGTAATCCATGTAAAATTCTCTAAACGGACTTCCAGCAGGAACCAGTTCTGCACATGTCCTTTGTGAATATAGAGCTTTGTTGCGGTACAGCAAGTAGGACACCAAAAATCCGCGAAGGGCCACCAATGAAAGTGGTCATATAGGAAAAAGTGTACTTTTTTAAGGTATAGTTATTTTTAGGGGTTCCACAATAGATTTATTTAGGTCCCAGTAAAGGAAAGGATTTTTATAACACTAAATCACCCCCCTCCTAACCTTAACAATCTATTTCAATTTAATAAAATTTAAAACTCAAACTCTGAAATAAAAATTAATTAGTTTTTACGACCTCAGTATTAACTCCAACTCAGTATTGCCAACGTGGATTTCTGAACAATCGGACTTTCGTCCTTCACTCTCTTCGATAGGACGTAAGTTTGATTTGGAAAAAAATGTAAATAGGATCGACTGGTTGAATGATAGAATACCGCAGTCATCGTAAGACGTTATGCATAATTCATAATGTATTAACTGTTGAGATGGTCCAAGAATCTTTTCGTCCCACGTTTTCGTTTGCATACTCAAAAACTTAACGTTTGTAATTTTTTTTCCAGGGTTTTCTGGCTTGGTTTGCTGTTTATAAGCGGGCGTGCGAGTGCCGTCAGATCCGTGTCTTTTATCTACGATGGTAAGTCTTTTTATAAATATCCTTTATATTTGTAAAATAAGCGGAGATTTTTTATAAAGGAGCGCTAGGTGGGAAATAAACAGGTTGTCCTACCTTTTTTTCCCGGAGAACACTTTATCGTCGTACCTTTGTCTAGAGAAACAACCGGGATTCGGTCATAAATCATGAGCGGGTATTGTTCTCCCGGTACAATAAGACAGTCATGAAAGGCTGAATCCGGCGTAATTGGGCCATTTATTGTAGTTCCAAGCTGCTCTTGTACGATGGGGGGACGAGAGGGACAAATTTGAATGATCGCCGAATCATGATCAGAATGGGCTATGAGAAAATGTAGTGCAAAAAAAAAAAAAAAAAATCCAAATCTACAGTAATTAAGTGTCTAAAACAATGCCATTGTTCAATATCATTCTACAGCATCGTGTTTACTTGTTATTTTTTGTTATTTATATAATCTTGAGAAAACAAGATGCTCATCAATCCTGATTATTCATATGCCGACTATTTTGGTGAAATTATCTTTAAATAGACGTAAAAAATACAGGACTTTACATCAAGTCTCTCTTCGAAAGCAATGAAGATTTATATGAGAGATAGAGGGAGGAGAGAGAGAGTGAGAAAGAAAGAGAGAGAGGATAGAGAATGAGAGAGAAGAGAGAAAAGAGGTGAAAACCTGAAGAGTGAGAGTGCAGAAACGTAATGAAAAACATTAGCGAATGAAAAAATTAAAAAGAAGGATAAATATATTAGCAAGAGTGCTAGAGGTAGAGGTAGAGAGGTAGAGAGAGGTAGAGAGAGAGAGAGAGAGAGAGTGAGAGAGTGAGAGAGAGAGAGAGAAGAAAAGGAGAAAGAGAAGAAAGAGAGAGAGAAGAAAGAGAGAAA